CTCTGAAAAATTTAAAGGGAGGAATACAGTAATTGTTGGTGTATATGGTAAAATCCATGTGTTTTATGAATGTTAGGTTGGATATATGAGCTCGTAAGAGAAGGTAATCTTTGGTACATTGTACTGATCATACCACTTTCCCAATTTCAAATCACTTATGGATTTGTAAAGTTATTAAATGAGTAAGTACTATTTTTTAAGTTAATATGTTATTTAAACACATTTTGGTTTGGGCCATGCCTGTGTCAATGTGTTCCACCTAGTTCCATATAAAATTAGATTCTCTGTATGATAACATCAAAGACATGCCTTAAGGGAACTTAATTTTTTTAAGGAGGTGGAGAATCCATTTGTAGAAACCAGTATAAGAAGCTGTTTGAAAGACATCAAACATGGACTTGTCTGGACTTTGCAGGTTTTAAGGTATATGTAGGAATCAAAATTGACTCATTGCTTTTAAAACTTCATGTTTGTAAAAAATAAAAGAGAAATGTTATGAATCGTAATATTTGAAATATATAGTTTTTACTTAGCTGCAGAAATCTACCCGTGCTCTGCTACGTGTTTTGAATTTTTTTGCCTCTTTTGCCGAAACATAATAAAATAATGTGCACTGATCACAACAATATAATAAACTGCATGCATGTTTTTTGTTTTTTGTTTTGTTTTTTAGACGGAGTCTCACTCTGTTACCCAGGCTGTTGTGCAGTGGCATGATCTCGGCTCACTGCAACCTCCGCGTCACAGGTTCAAGTGATTCTCTTGTCTCAGCCTCCGGAGTAGCTGGGATTACAGGTGCCTGCCACCACACCCAGCTAATTTTTTGTGTTTTTAGTAGAGACGGGGTTTCACCATGATAGCCAGGATGGTCTAGATCTCCTGAACTCATGATCCTCCTGCCTCAGCCTCTCAAAGTGCTGGGATTACAGGCATGAGCCACCGTGCCCAGCCATGCATGTCTTTTAAAACTAGGAAAGAATAAGCAAAATGTCCTAATTTCTGTTGGAGACTAGCAATATGAAAACCAGACCATTTTTGTTGAAAAATTCTGGAGACATTTGTGATCAAATTTTTATATCCTTTAACTTTAAGATAATTGTATCTTTTCATGATTGTTCATTCCAGTGTCTTATGTTCGTTTTGTGACAAACACAGATTGTTATTGATAATATACAATCGTTATGCTTTAAATTCAGAACTCACAGAATTTAATGGAAACTTCAGAGTTCTTTAAATTTCAAGAGTCTTAAATAAAGTATATTTATTTGAGTACAAAATTGTATTGCCTTTAAAAATATTTTTCAGTATCAAGTTTATTATTAAAAGCACAAGTAATAAAATAGAATTTAAAATATTTATTTTCAGAATACCACTGTTTTAATAAATGGTATTTTGCCTATGCCAGTGTCTGCTGTTAACATCTAGTTAATATATTTTCTGTGTCTAGTAAATATGGTAATCAGTTTCAAAGAAAATTAGGCAGGTTTTGTGAGGCAAAGTTAGAATACCTTGAAGAAATGGGAAAGTTTGGAGGCTCTAATTGGACAGGATGAATATTTCTTGATTCATTTTTGAATTGTTCCATTTATTTTCTATAAATAGAATCAAAAATTCTAAGAATAGAACATTACATTAAGACTACACAAATTGCCGGGCGCGGTGGCTCAAGCCTGTAATCCCAGCACTTTGGGAGGCCGAAGCGGGTAGATCACAAGGTCAAGAGATCGAGACCATCCTGGTCAACATGGTGAAACCCCGTCTCTACTAAAACTACAAAAAATTAGCTGGGCATGGTGGCGCGTGCCTGTAATCCCAGCTACTCAGGAGGCTGAGGCAGGAGAATTGCCTGAACCCAGGAGGCGGAGGTTGCGGTGAGCCGAGATCGCGCCATTGCACTCCAGCCTGGGTAACAAGAGTGAAACTCCGTCTCAAAAAAAGAAAAAAAAGACTACACAAATTAACAATGAAAGGAATTGCCCCACTCATTAAGAATGCTGTAAGGCTGGGCACAGTGGCTCATGCTTGTAATCCCAACACTTCAGGAGGCCAAGGCAGGAAGATTACTTGAGTCCAGGAGTCTGAGACCAGCGTGGGCAACAAAGCAACACCCTGTCTCTACAAAAAAAAAATTTTTAATTAGCCAGGCATGGTGGTGTGTGCCTGTGGTCACAGCTACTTGAGAGGTTGAAGCAGGAGGATCGCTTGAGCCTGGGAAGTCAAGACTACTGTATTCCGTGATTGAGGCACTGTACTCCAGCCTGGGTGACAGATCCTGTCTCACAATTAAAAAAAAAAAAAAAAAAAAGAATATTATCAGTGACTCTCATACCTTTTATTTTTTATTTGCATTCACATCTGTAAACAACAAAATCCACAAAAGTTAATTTACCTGTTTTGAGATAATTAAATCTTAAGCACAGTGAGCATACCTTAAATATGACTTTGGAATTGGAATAATTTGTTAGGCAATTATAGAAATGCTAGCAGTATTAGTTTTGGTAGAAGTTTAATTACTTCATTTGTATATAAAGCCCCACTGTTTGTCAGGAAAGATAATATTAGGTTTATCATTTTTAATTCAGAACCGTAAATAACTTGTTTAAAGTGGCAGTACATACACTATATATGGTTTGTTCTGGGTAGAGAACTAAAATAAGTAAGAATTAGCATAGCAGTGATTTTTGTTTATGCATAATAAATTGAATTTTTGCTTCGTTTCTGACTCTTAAATTTGTTTTGTGTATTATAATATACAGGCCCTTATTGTTTCATTTCATCCAAAATTCATGTATGAGCGGGTATAGGGTTAATTGTAGCATAGTGCTTGGTCTTGTGAGCACTGTTTCTTCCATAGGCGTCTTAGGTTGCCAGTGTTACAATTCCAGATACTTTGTTGAACAGATTACCTGTTCATACAGGAGCTACATTGTTGTATAGCCTCATTCCTTCTGATGGGTGTGGAGCAGGATTAAAGCACACTTTATAGGGGTTCTAATTGTAGATTCCTAATTGACTTGGTGAATAGCAAATGCTAAAATTTAACACACAGACACATACTGAAACATACACACACACACACACACACACACACACAACACATACACGTAAACCTGTTTCAGGGTGATCTGCATGACAGAACAAATGCCTCACAGGTGTTGAATGCTTACAAGATAAAAGAGTAGTTCTTCCCCTGTTTCCCAAGAATTTTCCTTTGAAGTTTATATGGATTTTCTATCTCATTGTTCTTTTCTTAAAATGGTTTACAGCAAGAATCCATTTCATCTTTGGCTGCACTTTTCACTTCTAAAGGCAGAACTGATTTTTAGAACTCAGCCAAAACTAAAAACAAAAATCTGTCAAGTAAAATTTCACAGATTTTTGAGAAGGGAAAAAATACATGGATGCATCACAGGTTTTGGTTTTTTAACAACTCATTGAAGAATGTTTGGGTTGTTTCTAATATTTGGCTATCATGAATAAGCCTGCTGTGAACATTCAAGTACAGGTTTATCCATCACATTTTTTTCACCATCTTATTTATAACATTTTATTCAAATTATAGGGCATAGACTCGAAGGTAAAATGTGTCACATCAGTTGGACATTTCCTAAAGGTGAAATTGAAACATAGGGAAAAAATGTAACATCCAAAAAATTCTTTGGGGCCTTTATTTTTCCACAATATCCAGATTTCCTGGCATTAAATCATTACCATGGAGGGCAATAAGAGGAGATGACTTCATCAGTGTCTATGTGACCATGGTTGGGAAATGTATAGGTTTGTTTTTAAAATTTGTATTTGTCTAAATTATGTTGTCCAAAAGATTGTACTAAGTTAAACAGATAGAGAAAAATTATGTTCTTAGAAATGATAAATATATTAATGTTCCTATACACATTGTATGAAAAACTTTTCTAAATTTATAACTTGATAGAATCTGTGAACTACTAAAGGCACATAGTAAATATTCTTTCATTCATCAGGAATCAGTCAATTAATAACTATTTATTGGTAACTAACTGCCACCAAATTCCTGAGTAGATCTATAATGGGGCAAATTATAGTAAAAGCACAGATTGAGAAAGAGCAAATATTGAGGGCTTTTTTCCCCTTTAGGTTAATCACATTGCAGAAAATAGGGAGCATAGAGAAAATAGAGGGCAAAGCAATATTCGACTAGAAAAATTTTTTTTAGATTTTTACTGTTTTAATCTTTGATTAAATAATACTTTTAAAGGAATATTGGGTATTATAATTTTTGCAGTTTTGCTAAGTAATTGTTTTGGTTTAACTTATATTTAGTTGCTAATGATGTATGCGTTTTCCTATTCAATGACTTTTTTTTGTTTTGTTAATTACTGTTTATGAAAATTAAAAATGTCACCCTGTGGTGTCCATATCCTTCCTTGCAGTTTCAGTGCCTGTCAGTCTGTTTTCTTCTCAATAACTACCATAGACAGTGGTCTTCTCTTATGTTTTATGTCAGATTTAATTAAAATTAAAAATTCATGTAGTAGATATCTTGAGGCAAAAGCATTCATGCCTTTTGTTAGTTAGTACTTTTCCATAAGGAATTTTTCTTAGTAGTCCAGGACTTCCTGCCACAATCTAGTTTAATCCCAGAAGATTTGTGCCTATATAAACACCATTGCTCTTAGCAAATGCACAGGCTATGTCAGAACATAGACCTTCATTTATAGTGAACTTCTAATTATATGCTTACCCTGCTGTTAGAAAGGAAATAACTTACTTTAGATGGGGAAAATTTTATTCCATTTGACTGTCATATAATAGACTGAAAGGAATAATGTTGCAGATATGCTTTTGTGACTGCAGGATACAGGTAAGGGGAATACACTGTAAACTAATGAGACCTGTTTCATTTTTAGATATTAAGCCAGACTGATACGACTTAATAGTGTAGCATTTGACTCATAAAGGAACTTAGATAACTGTTGTACAAATAATACCTTTTTTTTTTTTTTTTTTTTTTTTTTTAAGCTTAAAAGTAAAAATAACCAAGCTGAAAAAGGAGCGAGTTTTGTAAGTATCAGTATGTAACACTCATGTGTTATTTATAGAGTAGTTGATACTGATGTTGTATTTGACCTTAATGTCTTATTTATAAAGAAATTAGCCCTACTTAGTATGGGCCTTGGATAGTCAACAGCAATTTTTTTTTTCAAATTCTAAAGTAAAAATAATTTTGTAATTTAAGTATAACCTTAGTTACTTATATATGTTTACATTTACTACAACTTACATGTGTAATCTTTTCCCATGAAGTATTAACATGACAATTGATCTGTAATCTTTTTTTGATTTGTCAGCAGAATTCTTTTTTCAGCCATAATTAACACCTGGATTTCAACATGCTACAAGACAGGGAGCAGAATAATTCTGGGATTTCTAAATTCATATGAATAGAAACTAAATGGGTATTTTAAGACTCCTTTTAGGTAGTTTGAAATTACTTGAAGAGTCTTTGAATTGTTTTCCTTATAAAGTTCTAAATCAGATCTGATTTTTTAAGTTTAGGAACAGATTTTACTCATGATTCTCTAAAGCTTCCACATTCAGGAATCTGAAACAGATGGCAGAGTAGAATATCAGCACACGTAACAAAAATCAGTTATCATGTAACTAATAATAATAAATTTGCTTTACAGTCTGTGTCTATGGGCTTCAGTTACTTCACATTCTAAAAGCTTCCAAGGCTGTAATTGAAAGCTGGATTACTAAACACCTATCAGAACATACCCATATGTGGCCAGGCAATCTCAACACTTTGAGAGGCCCAAGTAGGCAAATTGATTGAGCCCAGGAATTTGAGACTAGCCTGAGAAATATGGTGAAACCCCATTTCTATTAATACAAAAAATTAGCCAGACATGGTGGCACGCACCTGTGGTCCCAGCTAGTTTGGAGGCTGAGGTGGGAGGATTGCTTGAGCCCAGGAGACAGAGGTTGCAGTGACCCAAGATTGTGCTACTGCACTCCAGCCTGGGTGGCAGAGTGAGACCCTGTCTCAAAAAATCAAAACAAAAAAACAGTTGTTTTCTCCATTATAATCTGAAAATGAAAATTGATAAATTTTCTGTTACACCTAGAAAGTCACATTTGGAAGTGAACTTAGTTAATCGGGAATATAAAATCATATTTTTTTTTAAGTTTTGTTACAAATGAAAATTTCAGGTTCTTAACATTTTAAAGTGGCTTGTTGTAATTGTACATGTTCCTGCCTTAAAGATGTTACTAAAACCTCCTTAACCATAGAATACTCCTTTTCTCTCTGTTTCTGTGGCAGAGCTATGTTTAGTTCCCCTAGTTGAGCTGTTTCTTAACTTAAGCAGAAGATCAAATTAGCCTTTTTTGAGTAGTGAATTTAGGATGTACATCTTATTAGGTAGGATGTTTTCTTACTGTGAAAAATAAAAACAATCAGAAGTGACTTCTACAGTAAGGAAAATTTCTTCTTTATATAGAAGGCCCAAAGAAGGGACGTTCTAGAACTGGTTAGTAGGTGACTCAAAGACTCAGATTATTTCTCTCTTTCTTCTCTCCCATCCTTAGTATCTTGACTTGCTGTCTTATTCTTGAACTCCCTCTATGGAGTAAAGGGAACCCTTGTACATTGTTGATGGCAATGTAAATTAGTAAAGCTACTAGGGAAAACAGTATGGAAATTTGCCAGACTAAAAAGAGAGCTATCATGTGATCCAGCAGTTCCACTACTGGGCATTTACCCAAAGGAAAAGAAGTCAATATATCAAATGGATGCATGCACTTAACGTGTTTATTGCAGCACTATTCACAATAGCAAAGATACGGAATCAACTTGAGTGTCCATCAGCAGATGAATTGGATAAAACAAATGTGTTGTATATACACAATAGAATACTACTCAGCCATAAAAATAAATAAAATCCTGTCATTTGCAGCAATATGGATGAAACTGGAGGTCATGATGTTAAATAAATCATGCACAGAAAGACATATTGTTGTTACTCATATGTGGGAAGTAAAAAAGTCGATCATATGGAGGTAGAGGATGGAATAATAGATACCTGAGACTGGGAAGGGTGTGTGGGTGGGAGGGAGGTGAAGAGTCAGTTGATGGGTGCAAACTCATAAGGAGACGGAAAGAATAATGTTTGGTAGAAGAATAGAGTGACTATAGTTAACAACAATGTATTTTATATTGAAAATAGGAAACCTGAAATGTGTGCAACACATAGAAATGATAAATACTTGGGTGATGATTACCCTAAATACCCTGACTTAATTATTACACGTTCTATGTATGTAGCAAAAACTTCACATGTACCTCCTAAATATGTACAAATATAATGTGTCAAAATTCTTTTTTAAAGAATGCAAATACAACTGGTTACTCAGTAGCTGATAATAATGCCTTACTTTATTGTATAGTTTACAGAGGTATTTGATTCTCTCAGCAACCTTTTAAAATATATTATAATTACTCTGTACCTGTACAACTCAGGTAGCCTGGGGTTATACATTTTGGAAGCATAGGTAAGTAGCTAAATTCCCTGAGTAATCAGATAATTAAAGGGATCCTTTATTTACCAACCCTAGAGTAAATTAGGTGTTTGTATTGTGGGACCAGGAATTTGGGTTTATCTATATTACTGTAATCCCCGCTTCCCAGTGTACAATATACAGTGTTATCTCTGTATTGTTAGAATAGCTGGATTTGAAAGGTATCTCAGCCCTTAAGGATTCCTGGAAAAAGCAGTTAGAAAAAGAATACTGTTAATATTTGTTCTTCAGTTAATTGTTTTGGACCTATGTTTTAATGATAAGGGTACCTCTACACACAGTTAAAGCTTCTTTTTTTTTTTACCATTCACAAAGTGGAACATGTGGCACTGTTGACTATTGGATCTTGTGAAGTTGTTGGAAAAGTTATCCTTGAGCTTGATCAGCCAGATTCTTTTAGACTGCTTATGTGCATTGACTATATCTGCTTTCTCCAGTGTATATCAACTAATTACTAACTGATTGACTATCTTATTAGCTAGCAAATCTGAGCATCCTAATTACCAGCCGTTACTTAAAAACAATAACTATTTTCTGCTGAGGAAATAATAAAGATGACATCTGCCATATTTAGCCAGCTTTATAACACTTACTAAGAAAATTCTCTTTAGGTGCTGAGAAATTTAGAAATTGTAGAATATAGAGTACTCACCTTCAGATAAACTCTTGTTTTCTTTTAAATTTTTTTAATTAAGAAATTTAAAGAATTATAAAGACAAAAAAAATTTCCAATTGTGCAGGACTGTTTTCATACTTTTGATTCCTTATCACAAAGTTTCTTTACAGAGAATATAACTCAAACACAAAGTTTTGTCCATTTTATTCATGTTAGTTCCTATCTCTCCTTATAGTTCTCCCCCCTCATTTCAAAGTAATGAGAAAATTGTTGTATGTGGTGCATAGTTATGTAAAAGAGACAGGAGGGTTTGTTATCTATCTTATTACAGTTACGTTTTCAAATACAAGATTTATCCAGCTTCCTATGCAGGTAATATTTAAAATGTCAGTTACCTTAGAAAGACAGAGGCCACCAATTAGGAAAATGATACTGAGTTTTTAGTAAAATGCTGCTAACGGCATTGAGCTTGCCTTAGAAATGAAGTTAGTGATTGGTATAGTAATAACTCTTCCTTTGAATGAGGTCCAGAGTAGACCTGTCTTTAATATGTTAGATACTTCCCTGTTTTTGAAATTGCATGACTCTTTGCATTGTTTGGAATTCATCAATTTGCTTTCTTAAAGACCTTGTTAAATTATTTCTGCAATTAGTAAAAGCTTATTATGTTACCACTTTCTTGACCTGAATATTTTATGAAGTAATTGAAATTAGTTTTAACTTTAACTTAGGTTATTCATCTACATAATAGTTTGGCTTTAAAACAAATACTGTCATGTTCTGAATCATTCTAAATAGAACAGTAATGGAATATATGAATATGGGGTAATCAGATAACTCATTACTATTACAGAGTTCTGTTCATCATTTAAGAAAAAACCCTTTGCTATTAATTTTTCACTCAAGAGTGACAGTGTATATGTGTCTGTATATTTACAGACACAGCATGTCTGTAAATCTTCAATTTAATATTTACTGTATTTATAATATAGATTATTTAAGTTAAATGTTAAATTTGAATAGATGTTGGCAGTTAACAGTCTGTGTTAGAACATGACTTTAATCATGCCCCCAGGCTTAGACAAGTTATCTGGTTATAGTTGCTGAATAGATCAGTGAAAACCTGGTGTTCCGTCTAAACTAAATACATTTTCTACAAGTATTAGGAAATACTTTATTTATTTATTTTTGTTAAATGAGAAATGGCCAAGTTAACAAGCTTCAACAATGTATTACTGTCTGTTATTTTCAAGTTCTCAAATGTCTCTACATGCTACCATAACTATATTTGTTGTATAGCAAGAATGTGTTGCTCTTACATGTATTGGTTTTTCAGTCAATATAAACTGTTCAACAGAATTCCAGAAGTACCCCCTATATTTGATACCTGACATTTTGACTTAGTTGTTTTACTCATCTGCTTTGCTGCCAGTGACACTATATTCTAGCCACTTTGAAACAATCATTTAATTAAATTAATGTATTAATTAATTAATTAATTTTTGAGACAGAGTCTTGCTCTGTCACCAGGTGCCAGACTGAAATGCAGTGGCAAGATCTTGGCTCACTGCAACCTCCACCTCCTGGGTTCAAGCCAATCTCTTGCCTCAGCCTCCTGAGTAACTGGGCCTACAGGCACGTGCCACCGCACCCAGCTATTTTTTATATTTTAGTAGAGATGGGGTTTCACTATGTTGGCCAGGATGGTTTCGATCTCTTTACCTCGTAATCCGCCTGCCTTGGCTCTCAAAGTGCTGGGATTATAGGTGTGAGCCACCACACATGGCCCATTTATTTATTTTGAGATGGAGTCTTGCTCTGTTGCCCAGGCTAGAGTGCAGTGGTGTAATCTGGGCTCACTGCAACTTCCACCTCCCTGGCTCAAGCAATTCTCCTGCCTCAGCCTCCCAAGTGCTGGGATTACAGGCGCATGCCACCACACCTGGCTAATTTTTTGCATTTTTAGTAAAGACGGGGTTTCACCCTGTTAGCCAGGGTCGTCTCGATCTCCTAACCTCGTGATCCACCCGCCTCGGCCTCCCAAAGTGCTGGGATTATAGGCATGAGCCATTGTACCCAGCAACACAATCATTTTGACATTTACTTTTTATGACAGACCAATTTGCCACTCTTATTTGGTTTGATATTTTAGACCCTTCAAGGGACTGGGGGAAGGTGTTTGAATCACATTATGATCCCATATTTTCAGCTTCAAGACTATACAGAAAATCCCAATCAAATTTCTAATAGGTTTTCTTAGAATGAAAGTATTTGCATACTTTATATAATAATGTGATTTTTAAAAATAATGATGGGTAAAATATGGCAACTTTGGAAGATAATCAGATTTAAGTAGAAGAAAATATTAGTTGTCTTTGTCAGGTTTGTTTTCTCACTATAAAGTCATAATGGCAAAGACTTACACAGAGCCTCCTATGTGCTACACTGCTCCGTATCCAATACGTGCATTAGTACTTATTCCTCAGACCTTTTGCAGTAGATATTAATGTATGCATACTTTGTGAGGTACAGAGAGTTCGGTTAATTGTACCAGGTCACACAGCTGATAAATGAAGAGCTAGACTCAAACCCATGTGGCATCTGGGTATAGGGTTTGTGTTTTCCACTTCACTGTAAGCTCTGACTTAAAAGCAAGACCAGGTAAACATTTTAAACAACACAGAAATTAGCAAAATAGAAAGTATGAGTTCTTAATAATTGAAAGAGATGATGTGAGCAAAGAAATATTATTTACATTAAATATATGAAAAATGAAATAATGTATATTTTGATGGTTTTTTTGACAAAGATTGAGTCAATGGTGGCATGATGCCTTTATGGTATGAATACAAGAGCTCTGCAGAGAAAATTTTAGTATAATCTGAACTGTGATTTACAGGATATTCCAACCTCACCTTTTCAGTTGTTTTGTTTTGGTACAAGAAATTCATTACATAGACACGGTGAAGTTCTTAGCCTGTTAAGAGTATTTTTCTCTGAAAAGCTTATTTATTTTTTCACCTTTAGAGATGCACAAAGACTAGAAGAATTCTTCACCAAAAATCAACAGCTGAGGGAGCAGCAGAAAGTCCTCCATGAAACCATTAAAGTTTTAGAAGATCGGTGAGTCTGGCACTTAGGTCTTGAGTAAGGAGTGATTTCCTCCATAATAAGGAGTACATTGACTTTTCATTTGTAATAAGTTTTGGTATTGAAAGTGATGTTTCCCACAGCCTTCTCTCACCTTTGAATGAGTACTTTATGAAAATAAGGATCTAGGCCGGGCGCGGTGGCTCAAGCCTGTAATCCCAGCACTGTGGGAGGCCGAGGCGGGTGGATCACGAGGTCAAGAGATCGAGACCATCCTGGTCAACATGGTGAAACCCCGTCTCTACTAAAAAATACAAAAAATTAGCTGGGCATGGTGGCGTGTGCCTGTAATCCCAGCGACTCAGGAGGCTGGGGCAGGAGAATTGCCTGAACCCGGAAGGCGGAGGTTGCGGTGAGCCGAGATCGCGCCATTGCACTCCAGCCTGGGTAACAAGAGCGAAACTCCGTCTCAAAAAAAAAAAAAAAAAAGAAAATAAGGATCTATTCTTACAGATTTTCATTAATTGTGAGATCACGTCAGTTTACCCTTTAAATGATATCTTTTTCTGGTGTTTGATGTAGTGGAAGTTCAAGGGTAGTATAGTGATGTTCTAATTGATTTAATGCTTTAATTCCAGTTTTACTTCTAAGTAGGCAGAAACTGCTTCACAATTGTTTCTTAGTGCCTGTAGTCCCAGCTACTCGGTTGGCTGAGGTGGGAGGATTACTTGAGCCCAGGAAGTTGAGGCTACAATGAGCAGTGATCATGCCACTGCACTCCAGCCTGGGTGACAGAGCAAAACCCTGTCTCCACAAAAAAGACAAATGATTATCAATGTTCATATTGTAGCCTCCCTTTATTAAAAAATTTTTTTTCTTTTGATAGTCTCGTTCAGTTGTTCAAGCTGAAGTGCAGTAGCACAATAATAGCTCACTGTAGATCCTCCTGCCTCAGCCTCCCAAAGTGCTAGGTGACCCACTGTGCTTGGCCTATAAAACTTTTTTGTAATGTAATTTTTGCTATCCTGAAATGAAGTTTAAATAATGTAAACTACCTACATATATAATTATTTTTAAAATATCACAGCAATATAGAGGAAATTGATTTGTAGTATATCAGAATGTAAATATTCTAAAAGATGAATTGTTGAGATAGTTGGTATAAAGTGATCATTAATGTGACTGATACAAGTATGTTTATTAATGATTCAGATAACACAAACTACATTTTTCATCAGTGACATGATTTTTCAAAATAGTAAAGATTATTGGTAAATAGGAACAGTTCCAATAGACCTAGTCATTTTTGTTTGTTTAATTAAATTTGTACTAGCTCCTAGTTTAACTTGTAAAAAGCATTACATGTATGTGACGAGTAATCAGCAAGAAATAAGGAAAAGCGAATGACAAAAAAGAAAAACTTGCATGTGTAGCTAGAAGATCAGCATCAATATCAGATGCCTGTTAGCCTTATTTAACTCTTTTCTTAGCTGTGAATTTAAGCCAGACTTAAAAGCCAAGCATGAGTAGAAGAGCTGGGGGCCCAGCTATGGGGTAGGAGAGCTAAACATGTAATGAGTGCTGATGATAAAACTTATTACAAGCCATGGATGGTTCCGTAGGTTCAAGGCATACTTCTTATACTCCAGAGTGAGTGGCAGGGCAAGTGTGTGTGTGTGTGTGTGTGTGTATATATATATATTGTTTGTTTGTTTTTTGTTTTTTGTTTTGAGACAGAGTTTCGCTCTTGTTACCCAGGCTGGAGTGCAATGGCGCCATCTTGGCTCACCGCAACCTCCGCCTCCTGGGTTCAGGCAATTCTCCTGCCTCAGCCTCCTGAGTAGCTGGGATTACAGGCACGCGCCACCATGCCCAGCTAATTTTTTGTATTTTTAGTAGAGACGGGGTTTCACCGTGTTGACCAGGATGGTCTCGATCTCTTGACCTCGTGATCCACCTGCCTCAGCCTCCCAAAGTGCTGGGATTACAGACATGAGCCACTGCGCCCGGCTGCAGTGTTTTATATTTTATTTTAAGTACTCAGGCATTTTCTATAATACTTAAAGCGGTTAAACTGAAGCTGGTGGAGGGGAGTATAATCCGTCTCAGTAGATTTCCTCTGTTAACAAAATGGCTCAATGTAAGGATAAGACATGAAAAGAACACAAGAAGGAGAAAATGAGAGTGCCTTGTTCTAAAGCAAGCTCGTCCAGCCCATGGCCTGCAGTCTGCATGCAGCGCAGGACAGCTTTGAATCCAGCCCAGTACAAATTTGTAAAATTTCTTAAAACATTATGAGATTTGTTTGTGATTTTTTTTTTTAAGCTTATCAGCTATCGTTAGTGTTAGTGTATTTTATGTGTGGCCCAAGACAGTTCTTGCAGGGAAGCCAAAAGATTGGACATCCTTATCTAAAGCTTTAAGGATCTGTGGAGAGAAGCTTCTGAGCAGATTCCTGGGCCCCATCCCTGCAGATTCTGATTCAGCTGGCTTGCAAATATTTTTTCTCTCTTTTTTCCTTCCCTCCCTTTTAAAGCTGCTGAGGTGGTTTTGAGAAATAGCCAGGTTTTGAGACCACTGATCTAATGATCTATTCAACATGTGTTTAAATTACTTTCCCAATTTCTGGGTGAACATCTTTTCTGTGCTTAAACATGTCCAGTGACAAATGAAATCACTCCCTTCTTAGGTATCACATTCCTTCCTTAAATAATGTAATTGGAAAGTTTTCTTTATAGTAGGTAGATATCTGTAGAATTGCTGCCCGTTGGTCCTAGTTTTATTCCCTTAGATCATAAATCTCTTTCATATGATTAATTTTTCGGATATTTAGACAGCTGTCACCCCTCAGTACCTTTCTGACTTTTTTTTTTTCCCTCCTACTGATTTTCCTCTTTGCTTACATTACTGAAGTTATACTGGCCTCCTTGACACTTCTTTAACAGTCCAGGCATGTTTCAGCTGTAGGAATTTTATACTCTATACTCTTTTTATCTGTCACAGTCTCTTGCAGGTATTCTTAAAACTCACTCCCAGGCAGGCTCGGTGGCTCATGCCTGTAATCCCAGCATTTTGGGAGGCCCAGGCGGGCGGATCACCTTAGGTCAGGAGGTCGAGACCAGCCTGACCAACACGGAGAAATCCTGTCTCTACTGAAAATACAAAATTAGCTAGGCATGGTGGCAGATGCCTGTAATCCCAGCTACTTGGGAGACTGAGGTAGGAGAATCACTTGAACCCGGGAGGCGGAGGTTGCGGTGAGCTGAGATCACGCCATTGCACTCCAGGCTGGGCAACAAGAGCCAGAAAAAAAAAAGAAAAACTCCCTCTCATCATTTACATTTCTTTTCAAATGTTAACTTCACAGTGAAGTTTTTCCTCAATAGCCTATTTAAAATTGCACCAAGTTCCCTAACTTAGCTAGACCTCCTGTCTCCCTCTGTGATTTGTTTCCTCCCAAAGCACGTATCACCTTCTTTTTTTGTTTGTTTGTTTGTTTGTTTTGTTTTGTTTTTGAGACAGAGTCTCACTCTGTCACCCAGGCTGGAGTGCAATGGCTCAATCTAGGCTCACTGCAACCTCTGCCTCTTGAGTTCAAGCAGTTCCCCTGACTCACACACACACAGAGACACCCTCCTCCCCAACCCCAGCCTCAGCTCCCTAGTAGCTGTGACTACAGGTGTATGCCACTGTGTCCAGCTAATTTTTTTTACATTTTTCTTATAGACAGGGTTTTACCATGTTGGCGAGGCTAGTCTTGATCTCCTGGCCTCAAGTGATCCATGTGCCTTGGCCTCCCAAAGTGCTGGAATTATAGGTGTGAGCCATTGTGCCCGGCCCCAAAGCACATACCACCTTCTAATACGCTATACTACTTATTTTACTTTCTCTCCTTTTTTTTTTTTTTGGTCTACTTTTTATTATGTCTCTTCTACCAAATTCCAAGTCAAACAATTGTACTGATATTTCTCATCTTTCTAATTTCAGCCAAAAGAACAGACCTTCATTCAGAGTAGGAAATCAACAAGCATAATGAAGTTGCCTAAAAGGAATAGAGGGATGAGTGAAGTATTCTAGATTAGAGAGACAGTATGTTACAAAGAGGAAACAGACCATTGCACATCAGAGAAAAAAACATGGTCAGACTTGCAGAAACCCAGAATTGGTGATTGACTGTAGAAGTAAAAATACAAGGCTGGGCATGGTGGCTCACGCCTGTAATCTCAGCTCTTTGGGAGGCTGAGGCGGGCAGATTGCCTGAGCACAGGAGCTCACAACTAGCCTGGGCAACATGGTAAAACCCTGTCTCTACTTAAAAAAAAAAAAAAAGAAAAAAATACAAAATATTAGCTGGGTGTGGCAGTGTGCTCCTGTAGTCCCAGCTACTCGGGAGGTTGAGGCAAGAGAATTGCTTGAACCCAGGAGGTGGAAGTTGCAGTCACCTGAGATCATGCCACTGCACTTCAGCCTGGCCTACAGAGCGAGACTCTGTCTCAAAGAAAAAAAGAGAGAGAGAGAGAGAGAGAGACAAAGGAGGAAGAAAAAAAGTCGACGTTTGGCTACACAGTAAAGAAAGAGCTGAAATAATAAAAAACATTGTGGACTTAAATCCTGTGAATGAAGGATGGATTCAGTCCATGAATACACTTCTTTAGCATATGTAAAAATAACCTCCTTTTTTCTATTTGTAATTTAACCTACTTTTTTATGTATAGTAGTTCCCCCATATCCATAGGGGATACATTCCAAGACCCCCAGAGGATGCCTGAAACCACAAATAATACTAAACCCTATATATACTATTTTTTGTGTATACATATTTACAGTACCCAATTTATAAATTAAACACAGATTAAAAACAATAATCATAAAATAGAACAGTTGTAATAGTATACTGTAATAAAAGTTACTTGAATATGAAAAAAAAAATAGGCTGACACAGTGGGTCGTGCCTATTATCCCAGCAGTTTGAGAGGCCAAGGAGGGCGGATCACGAGGTCAGGAGATCAAGACCATCCTGACCATGGTGAAAC